TATTTTTATTATTATTTGTACACTGAAAATTATATAAAGAACGTTTTTGATACACTTCTTTTTCTTCTGTCGACATTTGAAGTCCATAAAGAACCTTTGCTTATCCCTGTACTCCTCTATGTCTATTCTGATCTTTTTTGTTTTTTGTTTGTATTTCTTGAGATATTTTGACAAGATCTGACTTCAGCTAATCTACCCATCTCTGTCTAAAGGGTTTCTTTAAGCCTTTTTCCATTCAGTCTCTGCATAAAAATTTTGTTTACTATACAAACGTGGGTAAAATGTATGCACACGTTAAAAAATACGTCAAAAGAATGATAATACGTAGATCCAGACATCGTGAGTATAAATATTTATTACGCTCATGAACAAAACTTTTGTCGGTGACGCAAACTAGCATAAATCGAACTCGTCCGGTACAAAGTTATATTAAAAATATCGCAGTTACGAATACCGGAACCCTAAGAGAATCACTTTTGAGATAATTATTTCAAAATAAAATACTAAACGGGTAAACTCATAAAACACAAATAAATACGATAACATACTATATCACAGCATACGAGGTATAGCTATTAAATAATGGGCTTATATAATTAACGGTAATGCACGTGCAGGAAATTAAAAAAAAATTATAAACTATGATTAGTGATTACACTACATTGAAAAATACTAATCTTGTTTATTTTCTATTTTATAGTTTACGTATGAATTTTGTTTAAAGTGATCGTATTGTACGTCGAAATTATACAATATTGAGCAAGGTTTTTATGATTTTTCTTTGGAGAAACTACAAACATTTGTGACCGAAAGTTTTGTTTAATAAAAGATGTGTGTAGAGATGTTATTTATTCACCATTCATTTTTAATGTTCCAAACGATTTCGTAAGGGTCGTGAGGAAATTCGAAGTTAAACAACATGTGATGGGTCGTCCTTGCTCTTCAAAAACTGACCATAACATTTTAAAAATCATTGATATTATTAGGAAAAATCAGCTGCTAAGAACTTAAATTATAGTTTAAATATTTAATATACATAAGAAAAATGTTAGACAAATTGTGAACACGATAAAAGTCTGAGCCAAAATGTTGCCTAAAAACCCTTTTAGAAATAAAATTCTAAAAATCGTGTTCGCGTGATACATTTTGATTTAACTGAAGCAGTAAAATCTGAATCCGTTAAGATATTGAACACTTTATAATAAAAAGATTTTCAATACATTTCGATACGAACAATGGAGCTATGCATTAATCGAGGAAAAGTGTATTTAGAAGAGGAAAAATATTAAGCCGTTTAAAATTAATAGGAACAGTTTTTTAATAAGACAGTCTCGTTTTTTAATACGCATACCTCATATAAACCTACCTATACAAAATAAAACTGTAAATCGACTATTAAAATTCGAATGTCTTTGTGCTTACAAGTGTGCCAGGAGAATCTACGCGACCGAACGCGGAATAATTAATTTTGTCGGAATATCTATCGTGTGACTGTATACCTATGTAGAATTTACAAACGTCTTTCCCCGGGGTTTAACGCATAAACGCGAGTGGGTTGAGTAAATATAATATATTTTGAGTTAACTCAAATATATAGGAACAAAAATATTTCAAGGGTGACTCGTGTAGAATATTATAAGTTCTATATATATATATATATACACACATATATTATTACCATTATCAATGTAGAAATTTACATGTAACTATATTATAAACAAGTTGCCAAATAATATTAATTTATGGTAAAGTTCAGACTCGTAACGAACTTATAACTGAGAAGCCGTGAGTTTTAATAATATCAGACTTATATTGTTTCTGAAAATCGTAAATTTAATAAGTTGCTTAATCTGACAGGACTTTATAAACATATCCGAAAGACGATGAGTATTTTATAATAATAAGTACAATTTTAAAAAATAATGTATACAATATAGTATATATGGTCATTCAAATTTCATAATAACAGTCAAATCATCAAAGAAATGCTGATTTTTTTCAAATGATTATTGTAAAAATGTGTGTAATATTGTATTCTAAAATGATTTTTAGGAGTAAAATGACTACCTAATTTTTATTTTTAAACGACAACAACGATTCTATAAATAGATGAAGTATTAATTTAAATGCATTCTTATGTTGAAATAATTGATTTTCGTCAACTTGTCAATTCCACTTTAAATGCTGTATAAGGAAATACTTTTACTATTAAAATTCTACGCGCCGTGCCGACGCTCAAATGATGCCGAACAAATTTTAACACCAAAATGTATTTAACTAATACTCCATCTATTTATGGAATTTTTTATGTAGATTTCCGTTTGAAATTATATATAATAAGATATATAAAGGTCCAAAAACATGTTTACGTAATTAGGATTTAATGGAAAAACTGATTGTATTGTGAAATTCGAATGTCTCCAAAGAATTATTACCAAAAGGTCGAACTGAAGTTCCAAAAGAAAAATAGACATTTTTAAAAATGCTTATGTACCTTTGCCTGTATTATGGTTCCGTATACAGTTGTGAAAAACATGAAATTATTCTCTGTTAAGTTACGTTAAGCCTATTTGTTCTGATGCAAAAAAATATCTACTTAAATATGAACGATGATTAGAGTTCATTTAAGGGGACTGCGTGCTTTATGTTTTTCTCGAAAATATGTTACGCGGAGTTAAATCTTCTGCCTCGTGGAGAAATCCGATTTCCTTCATTTTAGATTTGAAGCGGAGTAAGAGATCTATTGATTTTACTTAAATATACCTATGTTTTTTTTCTGCCTATAAACAACTTCTTGAGCAGAAAACTTGTGCCGAATGAAAAATGACAAGAGACTTTCTGTTGCATTCTGAATTTGATAATTGTATTAAAGAGGTCATTTTTTGATTTTCAAAAAGATATTCAAAATAATCGAAAAAAACAATTCATAAAAGACGGACAAAGACGATGATGACGTATAATTTTATTTTTAATTTTACGAAATGTGTTTTATAACAGAAATCTCGCTCCAATTGGAAAATGACAAAGAACCTTTTTTATTATATTTTGAAAAACAAAACTTTGACAAATTCGCAAATGATTTAGAATTTGTTAGATATGAACTCTGCAAAGTTTTTTTTTTTGTGTTCAACTTAAGCCATTGTAAAATATATGGATTTTGTTTATTATGGTATATAACGTGTTTGGCTTACCGAGCGAATGGATGTCGACATTACTGTGACAGGTGCTATCCGGAATGTAGGTTTAATTAAAAACAGCTTATGTTCCAATCTAATTAAGATAAGCCCGTTTAAATTTAACACTTTTTTCTAAACATTTGATAATGAAAATTTCGTCTTTGCCATAACGAAAATCAGACTTGGTTAGTTGAAATTGTTGATAATCCAAAGAAAAAAATAATGCTAATTAAAAACAAACAAACTCTGTTACATAAAAATTCATAAATATATGTTAATAAATACCTACGAGATATCTGTATAAGATGATATTGATAAATAAAATTTCAATCAAATCCGTAAGTTACATTTAAAATGTGTATGTAATATGACTGTCTATTTGATTTTAAGTTGTGGTTCCCATTTTTGGTGTTACTTAAATGAAATTCTTGATTATACGTCGGCTAAAGTATTTTCAAAATATCTAAAAAAAAATCAATAATATTCTACAGTGTAGTATCAGAATATTTATCCCGCGCCAATAAAAGGAAACTTGCAAACCCACACTGAATAGTTTTGATAGATAGGTATACATTTTCAGCATCAGTTAGTCAAGACAACGATTTTTTTTTTATCACTCCTTGAGTTTTGACACCAAATATTTATACTTATAAATTATAATATTGGTAATAATGTTCTAGATTTTACTTTTTTAATTTTCTAAATAAACCTTATCATTGCATTTTATTACTTTACTATATACGTGCCATAGTGAATTATATTATATTTTTCATTAATTTAAACTGCTACAAAATTAATTATTTTTGTACTTCCACTAATATTTCTGATTTTCTTTAACTGTATAGAAATGTTTTTTTTTTTTTTTTTTTTATATTTACGAGTTTTAATATGAAAAATGATAGATAGAATAATAGATATTGTTATACATACTAAGTAAAATATTTAATTGATGTTAATATAGTTAAATAAATGAATTTTAACATTACATAAATCACATAACTTTGAAAATTTAGATATGTTCCATGTTTATTACACTTTTTACTACATTTAAAAGTTAGTTTTATCATAAGTAAGGAAAATAATAATTATTTATTTTTTTTAAAGTTACCGATTAGTTCATCTTTATTTGTATAATGATTGAATTTCTACGTATCTCTTATCTTCATCTAGATAATTATTCTATAAATAATTAATATTTAACTACATTTCAAAATGCATATTTATACCGCAACACTGATTACAAATATTATAATACCAATGTATGTTGTATCTGCGTTCACGTAATAATAATTCAGTTCAATAACAATTTAATAAAATTTTGTGTATTATGATTTTAGGTGACACAATGGCTGCCATATCGCGTCGAAAGTCCACAGCTTCGGGGATCGAAGTGATGCTCTGGTTTGTAGCACTACCGCTGATGGTTATATCCATAAGATAAAGGAGACAACGATATTATTGTTTAGGTAATAATAATAATTAACCCTAAAAATATTATGGTGTAATCTAATCTTTGTAAATATTATATAATATAATTATTATTATTGTATTGTTAAAACATAATGAAAAAAAAAAAAAATGTTTTTGTTTACTCGTATTTTTTCTAATTATTATTGTCGGAATTAAGAAAAAAAAAAAACATTTTGATAAAAATATTATTATACATATTTATAGTCTAGCTAATTATTATTATCTAGCTAATTATTATTAT